GCCTCTTTCAAACCTATGCCAATGAGCTCAAAAGTGAATTTTAAGGAGGTTAGTGCTCATCCTGTATCCTGGCGCATGCGCAGGCGTGTTCACTTCCCACGCCGATTGAATCTTAACGGCCTCCCTGAGTATAAGCTCACAACGCACATGCTTATGCTTGCCAATAATTCTACCTGATTGGTGCGCGAATATATGCACCTACCAGTAATAATAGATTTGTTGCTGGTAAGACGGTAGCCCAATGCTCAGGCTGCCCATCTCCAACGGTCCACGCGTGAACGTTTTCGCTTTTCACGCCGATTCCATCTTACCTGCTGGGCATACAACTTGTAATTAGCACATCATCATATTATCCATTGCATTGTAAGCACTCGGTCCGCGAGTTATTTGCGCTTTCACCTAACGCTTTGTTCATTATCGGTACGAAGGCAGTCCGATATTCAGGCCGTAAGGGTATTCAATTTGCACGCCGATTTCATTGTAACGTTTGGCTGCATCTTGCAAAGCACATAAGCATATTCGGCGTTAAATTCTTCATGAATGGCTTGCTGACCATATGCATCTGCCGTTAACAGTCTGTTAATTATCGATAGGAAGGTAGTCTAATGGTCCGGCCGTCCTATGCAGTGCAAACACTGTACATGCATATTCAATTATGATGTTATTGTGTTTTGCCTATTGTTTAACGGCATAGGCACGCAAAGCACACATCATCCTTGTCATTGAATTCTACATAATCGGCTCGCTGGTCATATGCACCACCCGCTCACGGTTTGTTCATTATCTGTACGAGGATTTCCGATGCTTCGGCTGCCGCGCAGCGTTACGCCCACGGCTGCGGTCGCGTCGCACGTAAGTCTCAACCTCATTGACGTCATCGCCCTGTACAAAGTCTGTGGAAACCCGACGCATGGCGATGCCCATGCAAAGCATTCCCGGGGTAAAATGCTTATACAGCCTTGGTGAAATGTGAGGTGTGTTTTGTGGGACAAGATGGACGCAAGGTGAAGGTAAGCAATTGTCCCTCTTTTTAATTTTCGTGTATTGTTCCTCGTAAGACTTCGCTATGTGTGCCCACATCCAGAGCGAGTTCTATCGTTCGGCCTCTCGCGGAATTGTAACTGGTGCTCTGCGGGGTGGGCGAGTGCCTGTTGTGTGTGCTGAGCATTGCATTTTGTTACGATTTCCCTTCAAGGACCTGGAGGGTTTGAAATCAGGGTAAGGTGGCCCTTACACTACTAACTCAACCAGTTGATCTCACATTTCCACTGCTCAGGGTACAGCAGGCAACTGATGCTTTGGAAAATGTGGTGTTATGCTGTACCCTGTTGGTGGATGCTAAGCATC